CTGAACAGACACAGACCCATCGCCCCATTGTTCTAGTGTAAGTTTGTGTTAAGTGTGAAGAAGTTCCTAAAAAATTCTATGTAAAGCACTGGCCAAGTTCACAAATAAAGAGATAAATGTTCAATACAAGATAAGGTGAAGTTAACATAGTTAGTATTAAGCTCAAAAAACACCCACCCACAAAAGTCTATAATATGAAAGTTTTCTTGTTACCAGTTCTAAAAGAAGAGAGTATGAATAGGTTCTGAAAAGATAAACATCTATATATAAGGATTAGAATATATTATACTTAATGAGCTAGAAAATAGAGAGGGGGGTCAAGTATTATTGGATTCAATGGGATCGAGTCTACCACGGACCAGAAAATTACTAAGGTTTTTATTGCGCTTATAGGCAATTACAAGTCGTTTGGTATATACATTTGGAAATCTGTTCTGTAATTCACTGTAATACTGTTTGACGATGGATACAGGTTTTGGCAGCTGTATGATTAAAGGTGGCAACAAATGGAATCATTTGATTATCATGCTGGATGTTAAGTCCATTTGGAGCCACTGTTTGGAGTTGGTCCATCCAGTAGCTTTCTCTCTGTAATCTTTTGGTTTGATAAGATCAGAGTCAGAAATTGATTCAATAGGCATGATAAGAAGGTCTTCAATGGAATGGTCAGGTAAATTAAAATGATGAGAAATTGGTCTATTTTTGCTATGAATTATATCAAAGCGATGGCCGCTAAATCGAGTTCGCCACGTTTTCTGGGTTTCGCCGACGTATTGTTTGTCACATTTTTTACACGAAATTAGGTAAATGATATTTTTATCCGTACACGTGAGACGTTCTTTAATTTCAAATATTTTTCCGTTTTTTTTTATTTTAAAAATAATGAGACATATGATTATGTTTACAGGTGCGACACCGAGAACCTCTACATTGTATTGCGCCAAAGTTATTTATTGGAGGAGGGGATTCATTAATTTTCAAAAGGTCCAAAACAGTGTCATTTTTAATTTTGTGCAAGAATCGTTTGGAATAGCCCCTCTCTCTTAATTTACTGAAAACTAGTACTAGTAACTCAAAAATGTAGTTTGTGTAATTTCTTCCTGTCAACTTGTTTAACCAAATGGTCTAGTCTAAAGAAAACAAACTCAAAATATAGTTTGATTCTTCTTACATTGCAAGCGTGTTGCTTTTTACAATTGCACATTTTCCTTTCATGTGCACCAATATTCTTCATTCGCCAGTTAATGGAGTATACGACCTCCATCATGAACTAATTGAATAATATAAAATATATGTTCTATTATTATCATGGCAGATGTTTTTGTTTAACGATCAGGTTTGATCTTGTCATCACAATAATATGTGAAATGCCACCAGATGTTTATATATTAGTACATGGCTGTAAGTTTTGTTCTGCTTCCATCTTTCATATCTAGTATTTTAACTCTTATCACTTGATACCACTTTTCATCAATAAATGCTTCCTCATGGATGGGGTTGTTAGCAATATTTTTTTTTCTTGTGATATAACAATTATTGTAATCAGTTACGTCCCTTGAACTTTTAAAATTCATCAGTATTATAAAGTCGCTTCTTTTTATTTTGTAGGCACGTTCCTATTTTTAGTATTTGTTTTGCTTACTCTTCTACACACCTGGTACCACTTTTCAATATGAAATACTTACTCACTTATGATTGATAAACATCCTCATGTGAAAAGTAAATATCGGTAGGCCTACTTGGTTTTGTTATTGAAGTAATATATCTTGCTGTACTAACGTGAGTTTGGTTGGTTACAAATACTTAAAAGGACAATATTACTGTTACTTGATGTCGATGCTTTTTGCATGCTTCTGTAACAGTAGTTTCTGAAATTAAGTACAATTAAACAGATTTTAATGTTTTGAAATGTTTTCCGTGGCAGCTGCAACCAACCGAAGCTATTCTATATCACTGTGCATCGACTACTCGGAGAGGTTTCTAAATCGCATCAATTTGCTACATTCCGATTTTCAATCAGACGTCTGTGGTTGGGTGCTCAAGTCATTTTTTGTTTTTATTGCTAGAACAACTCAAAAACCGACATATTTAATGAATTAAAAAGGTATATTTATGCATATAACGTTTTGAATTAGAAAGATTTTTTTAGAGAAATTACAATTTTAAGATTAAAATTTACACAATTTGTTTCCATGCCAATAATTATTATCCGCCGATGCAAATATTTCGAAAAATGAAATAATGTTTTTTTCACTCACTTAAAGTTACACTTGTCATGTATCATTTTTTAAAGTTCCATTTTACAAGATTTTATTTTTTTGGATTTTTTGGATAGATATCACAAATTTATAATGTCATACACAGAGTTAAACCTAAATTGCTTTCCTATAGTATGAGTGACAGTCAGAACTTTAGACGCCAATAGTGTAATTAGCACTCCAATAGTTACTTTAAGGCGCCACTAGTGAAATTAGGGCTCCAATAGTGAAACACAAACAAACCACACAATTTTGAATTCATAGAGTAACCGTGATTTTCGCACCATTGCGCTCCATTGTCAGTTTAACGGGTTCAGTTTTATCCATTTGCGGTTTTTCATCATCATCGCCTGTTGATGCGGATTTTCTAGTCTTTTTTTCCCTGGACAACATCATCTACAACTTTCAATAGCTATGTACTGGTTCTCTTGTACCTAAAATGAAATGCATTCACAACTAATAATAATAATATTAATAATAATCGCTTTTACCCAAGGCGAAATTCGGCGTGTTTTTCAATTTCGCACTTGACACAAATTGTGCGAATTCTTATATCATCAAGTGCAGTTATAGAAACTAGTACACATCCCAGGGCATTGGTTTTTAAGGATTGGTGTCGTTACCAAACGGGTCACTCGAGAATCAAAATCATTTTTCGAAATTCACGAATAATGTCGGTCAAAATACACGAAAGGTTTTTTTAGTTAATTTCACGAATCGGGATGATGGAATGGATACCCCTCGCATATACGCATATTCAGTGCAACATCTCGTTATTTATTTAGACATTTTTATGTTTTAGAATTTACACTTTAAACTAAGCAATTTATTATAATTATAACTCACCTTAGAGACATATACTTTTCGTATAGCAAGACACCTGGCTGCTTTTCTTGGTTTGGTCCAATTTCGACAGTTTTCGGTGTCAGATCTCTGTGTGGAAATCCACTATTATTCGTCTTTGACAGCCCTTCACTATATTTTAAATGTTTTACACCATTCCGTAATATGATGCTGAAATTTGATGTATCGACGATTTATAACGAGTGGTGTTCTTTGCTGCATCGTAAACAAAAGTTGACCCCATTCAGATAAAACACAGTGTCTATTAACTTTTGGGGCCCAGAGCATGTCCTCCTGATCTCTCGTTATTATATCTGCCTTTTTCTTATGTACACCAATTCCACCAAGGACCGCATTTTGGCATCTAATATCTTTCGCAGTGGTAAGAAGTTGAAATCTGTATTAAAATTAATATTTCCGCCATTTTCTCTCATGAAATACTGTATGGACATTAATACAGGCCTAATTGGCCTCTTCATATAGGTCAAAACTAATGGCGCGTTTTCGGAGTTTATCCTTTACTTATATTATGCCATAACAGTTAGATTGAAGATTAATACATTAAAATTTAGGTATATATAGTAATCTAAACCTTTTTCTATGTTAATAATGTCTTTAATATAGTTGAAATATTCAATATCTGAAGGAATTGTTAAAATAAGTTTAAGTAGTTAAGATGAGTTACAACAAACTTGTTTATAAAGATTTGATAACCTTCTGAATGTCTATTTATATGAATATAATTATTTTGTATCATAAATTATTATTATTTATACTATATATAGGATGGATGTTATTTTTTGAGTATTTGGGCAATAAAAAATGTTCCATTGTCTCATGAAAAACAGAATGTGCATTTTATATTGAAATGCTCTGATTTTGGAATTAGTGGTTATTACATTGATCATAGAAAATATAGTAATATTTAAGATTTATCTGAGATATTTTCCCATTTGGCCATTGTTCTTAAAAACGCGTTCAAATTTTAACTCGTAAACACTCCAGAAGGCACAATTCTTGACGGATTTAGATCAAACTTGCGATGAGTTAGTGCTTGATTTGGACCATGGATAACACTGATGAAGATCTAGATTCCGGAGATGTTCATTGATGCTATCAGTGTCCCCGATTTTTAGAAAACCTCTTTACAATCCCTATAAGTGGAATTCTTGCAAAGGCTATCATATTTCAACTAAGCCTTCAAATCACATGAAAATGTACATGTGTAAATTTGAAACGGCCAATTAAATCAAATGTTCCAAACAAAAAAAAGGTTGAGAACTAATGGACAGAAATTGGTTATGAATGAACATTAGTTTGTAATAACAAATTTGGTAGAAGGCTCACAAAAACCTATAGTTCGTACAAACATATTGGGGAGTGGCTCACGAAAATCTTTAATTCGTTAAAACCATGTTGGTCAGAAGGGTTACACGAAGAGCTTTTAGTCTTGGAGGCCCTTACAGGATAAAACTTCCGTCATTGGCTGAAAACGGCCAATTAAATCAAAAGTCGGTGATTACTCAATATATGTTTTTCCCCGGTTGTCAAATTACCTCAGTTATGAAAACTAATATTTTGTGGTATATTATTGTAAAATAGATCTTGTCTGGTGGTTTGGAGAGTATTAGAACCGTATAGCCAGTTCCAAACAAAAAAAAAGGTTGAGAACCAATGGACAGAAATTGGTTATGAATGAACATTAGTTTGTAATAACATATTTGGTTGATTACATGGATCAAGGACGGAGTTTTTCATAAACCAGGATGTGCAAGATATTCTGATGCTGTGGTCTGTTAACTTGTGACCTGACTGTATACCTTTCCTGTATACATAGGTTGTTCCCTGGTGGCGTGTGCAATGAGTAGTTGATAGTCTTAGTAATTGGATTGGATGATTCTGTGTTTGGTAGTTGATTTAACTATTTTTCTATTAATACTGTTTAAATAGTGTGGGAAATATTTCGAAAAACTGAGTAAGGATTTGGAATTAAAATATGTAACTGATAATTAGCTCTTGGCGACTCTATACAATTGCTCGATTCACAATCTGCTATAGACTGGGATATAATATACACATTTTGAACATTGCAACGTAAATTTTGTCCTTTGTAGAATTTGAATTGTTCATCTCAGTTACAGATGTTTCACAAACCACGATTTCAGTCCATTTTCTTTTTTTACTGGAAACTGCAAGAAAACAAAAGGGTCGATTTGAATCAACTTCAATTACCTAAAAGTAATTTCGATTCCTTGTGTTGAAAAATGTCCCATGGATGAACCAATTTCTTTGCTACGTCCCACCCTACTCTCTAACCGCAATATTTACAGAAAAGCACTTTTTCAATTTAGCTCTTAAAATAGTCTTCGAAATTCGATTGCCTTTGGTTGATGAATTTCACCATAGATGAAAAAAATATATTTGGAAATATGATGAATTTTCAGTCAAACATGCGAGTCATTTTCAGAAGAAACTGGGAGGGAATAGTTTGTTTGACCCGGAAACGTTCTTAGACAATGTATGCAATTGTTTTTTTTTATGTTGAAAATTTGTGGCTTTTGTCAAAGAGCAGCATAATCTACGTACGAACATAACGTACCTGTTTTGCAAACTGGTCCTGACAAGCCATTCTGATAACATCCGGTGTAGCTGGCGAGTCTAACCGGAAGTAACCTTCTAACCCATGATCATTTCTTGCCGCCATTATTGCAGCTTTGGTAGCGAAGAAAACGGATATTGCCAATAACAATGGCGGTTCACCAATTGCCTGTTCAAAAAGGAAGAAAAATAATGACAATCTGCATGAAAAAAATTAAATCCAAATGGAGGTTAGTATATATTTTAAAGCATTTATCTTAAGGGTTTTGGTAATACTGCCTAACGAAACAATATGGAAATTGAGAATTTTATTTATATAGAAATAGTCAACTATGTATTTGATTATAGTCCTGTGTTTGTAAACATTCCATTCCTTTGAAATACCACAAAAATGACCTATATAATCCATGGATGAACCACGCAATAACCAATGACTTTAGTTCTGTTCTTGCCAATTTCTTATTTCTAATAAATAGTCTATAATGAAACATGTCTAATTTTCTGATCCTACACCATGGCGCCACAAGCAAATAAGGACTAACAATTATGAAGGTATCTCGTTTCGCATGAATTTACTTAGATCAACCACGAAGGCACAGGCGGCAAAAGTCATATATCCAACCAGAGAGCGATTGTTCATCACATGGTCGACAGATTCTTACGTGGACAAATAACTTTTAATTCGGTGTCAAGTGCTTATTTTCGCGTTACTATACGCGTTTCAGCCTTAAATATGGGTTCCCTTATTTTCATTTACTCATACTTATATGAATAGAAAGTAGAGGTATTCTAATGACTCACAAAAATACCAGTTTATTTCACATGTCCATAATTATTTCAAAATAAGCTTAATTATAAGAGAATTATCAACAGAATTTCAATGAGTGACCATTCAAGAAAGGTCAAAAAGTATTTTTGTTTATCCAGTCTGCACATACATGGACATTTATGATTGGTTAAAACTCTTAATTATATGCAATAAGAACATAATGACGTGATTAAGAATACATGTACATGATAATTCATTACAAACATCATTAATTGATCTGCTCAATTTGACAATAAAAAAAGAAGGAAACCCGTCTTTAAAACATCGAGGAAAGAGAAAACTAAATTACCTTAGAGGAATAAACAGCTTTTGGATTAGGTTTATCTTTAAGCAAGGTAACGTTGAACACCTTGGGTATGTTCCCTACAGACGGTATTTTATAGGTCCCAGGTCCTTTGGTTAAAAGATTTCCGGATTGGGAAACTTTATACTGTTCTAACATGTAGAGGCCATACCCCTGAAATTAAAAATGCTTTGTTGAGACTATTTAAGAATTATTTACGATGATGCTGGTATTTCAAGCAATACAAAAACGTTATTTTAAAGGGATTGTGAAGAGGCCTTTTAATATTTTTTTGAGTATCGGGGAAACTGATTGCACCAATTTCCACTATTCCAATTGTTCGTCAGAAGTCTGTGGTTCCTGTAAATCCACTAAAACAAAGTGTTCGATGACGTCACTAATCGCTAGGTATGATTGTAACACATAAGCCCCTACGTCATCAAACACGTAGAATACAATGGTGCAAATTGATGCTATCAGTGTCCCCGGACTCAAGAAACCCTCTTTACAATCCTGATGGAGCATGTATACATAGGTTGAATTATATTTATCAGAAGAGTTTTAAATGGTATACCTGAACGAAACCACCTTCAATTTGTCCGATATCTACAGCTGGATTTAAACTTTTACCAAGGTCCATGACGATATCAGTTCTCAATACCTATATGTATCAAACACATTGAATAGATAGTGTGGTCACAGCCCATTAAGGAAAGAATTCAGATGACATTATGAGAAGTAGGAAGTAGTAGGCATGATGCTTTGTCAACTTGACATTTCTGAACGAAACAGTTGAGGACAGAAAGTCTTTTTCAGTTGATAAAACTCGATTTCAACTGTCTGGTTCATTTTCTGGGATATCAATTAAACATTAGAATCGCCTACAATTCAATAATAACATTCTAGGAGTGACAAAAGTTTTAAAACCTTTTTACCGTGTGGTCTCCTGTTAAGCAATCAATTTCGACCTCAGAACACCCAGCACCAAAGGAATAATATTTGTAGATTACTTCGTCATCCGTTTCTTTCTTGTAACCCAAGCCTTCAACTCTGAAAGAAGGCATAAGTATGAGACTTTATCAGTCGCAGTGGAATAGCTCTACCGTAGTAGAGAGATGGTTTGTCGAATGCTAGATGGTTCAAATCCTTCTCAAGCTAAGAAACAATCTTATGACAAAACCAGTGCTTCCGAGATTTGGCCCGCAGTCACTTTCATCCATGGTATCTTAAGACATTCGAGATTTACGAGTATTTAGTCGTATTAAAACAACCTTAAGAACAGAGACGTTATACTATTTAGGTCAAATTGTACAAAATGATTGAAATGGTGGAGGGCAAATCTGTTATGCAAGATATATAATTGAAGGAGTCATTTATTATTTAGAATTCCAGACTGATGTGAAATATCTCGAATCAAAGGTTGTGGATGAGATTATGATACAATTCTTAGAATGTATAGAACATAAAATAACTTACTTGTGAAAACCAGAAGCAGACAGACTAACCCGTTCAAAATGTGCTTTTATAACCTAAATAACAATTATAACACGGGGACGTCACAAGAAGAAATAAAGATAGCTTGCCAGAAAATGTAACGTAACCTACGCCAACTACCAGCTGTCGCTGAGATGATAACTAAGACTTTAGTGGCTGAATAATGAATTTTCAAACAATCATACCTCAAGGCAAAATCTCAAAGATAGCTTGCCAGGCAAGGTAATATACGCCCACTGACAGCTTTGATTTTGAACATAAATATTTAGCAGTACAGTAACAATCACCAGTATGAAATATTCATTCATACACTTCTTTAGAACTCTTTAGGGCGATACTGAATAATATTGAGTATGAGTATGCCCTAGTTCTTCAAAACGTGTTCAATCTTTAGCTCGTGAAAGCTCTAGAAGACAAATATTCAATCTTCAGCGCGGTAATGAATAATAAAACCAAGTTTTGTTAAAATTCGGCAAGAATCATGCCTTCTAGAGTTTTTATGAGCTACAAATTGAACGAGTTTTCAAGATCAAGGGCAATAACTCATACTAAATATTTTCGATTTTTCGATATTTGAATAGGCTCTATAAATGGGTGATAACAAACACTCAAGCCAAATTTCGTTAAAATCCGTCAAGAATTGTCCCTTCTAGAGTATTTACAAGCTTAAATTTGAACGCGTTTTCAAGAACAAGGGCAATAACTCATACTAAATATTTTTCAATTTTTCTGTTTTTCAATACGGTTTATCCATGGGTGATAACCAACACTCATGCCAAGTTTCGTCAAAATCCGTCAAGAATTGTGCCTTCTAGAGTGTTACCAACTAAAATTGAACAAGAACAAGGGCAATAACTCATACTAAATATTTTTCAATTTTTCTGATTTCGATAGGGTTAATCCTTGAGCGATAACAAACAGTCATACCAAGTTTCGTCAAAATCCGTCATGAATTGCACCTTCTAGAGTGTTTACGAGCGTTTCAAGAAAAAGGACAATAACTCATAGTAAATATTTTTCGATTCGTCTGATTTTCAATAGGGTTTATTCTTGGGTGATTACAAACAACCATACCAAGCTTCGTCGAAATCAGTCAGGAATTGTGCCTTGTAGAGTATTTACGAGCAATTGTGGACGGACGGACCGACGGAAAGAGGTGACGGCAGTATACGCCCCCCATTTCACGTGGGCGTATAAAAAACAGTTCATCAAGGTCTTGACAGCGAAATAACTCTAAAACTTTCATTCGATTATTACCAATGACGAACTTGGCCGAGATCTTATCAAGATATACATGCATACAAAGTTTCAACAAGATCGGATAAAACTAGTAGTCTCTTCCGTTCCTACAATCCAAATTTGACGCGTTTTTAGTTAATAGCACCATAACTCTCAAACCCTTCATCCGATTAATACCAACTTCGAACATGACCGAAATCTCATCAGTATATAAATTCTTACAAAGTATCATCCAGATTGCATAAAAAGTAGTCTGAAGCGTCTACACGCCAAATTGGACTCGTTTTTGAAAGTCAAGGGCAATAACTGTAAAACCGTTCATCCAATTAAAACTAAAGTCATACAATTAATCGAGATTTCATCAAATCTACATGCTACAAGTTTCGTGAAAATCGGATAAGAACAGTAGCGTCTATTGTTTTGTATACGCCCACATAAAATCGGAAAATATTTAATACGAGTTATTGCCCTTGTTCTTCAAAACGCGTTCAATTTTTAGCTTGTAAACACTCTACATGTCACAATTCTTGATGGATTTTGATGAAACTTTGTGAAATTGTGTATTATCACCCAAGGATGAACCCTATTGAAAATAAAAAATATCGAAAATTATTTGATATGAGTTATTGCCCTTGTTCTTCAATGTTTATTTTCAAACAAAGCTGCCAGTGGGCGTATTTTGCCTTGCCTGGCAAGCTATCCAAATGTGACGTGTTTATGACTGTCGAGGGCAATATCTACAAAACCGTAAATCCGATTAATACCAAATTCGAATTTTCATTAAGATCGGATAAACACTGTAGCCTCTATGGTGTCCACAACCATTGTGAACGGTCGGACAGGGGCGACGTCAATAAACGTCCACATTTTTATGTGGGCGTATAAAAACGCACCCTTCATTACCGCCATTCTGAGAGAAAATTCTATGAGAAAATTATTTGCAGTTTTTGTGCTAAAATTAGTTGTCAAACAGTGCCTCATAACTTTAGATATTATTTTAGAGAATGCATGGATTTTGAACAATTTTTGCATTGTTCCTTCTTTTGTATTCGTTCGAACGGATAATGGTATTGCACAAAATTTGACAGTGTATATTAATTGCGACAAATTGCTATATCATCAATCCACGAAAGATGTTCTTTGACTTTTCGACCTTACCCAATCCTTCCACGTTGTTCCGGGTTCACATTTGAAGGGTTCAAGTCGCTTGTTGATCTTTTCACATGCATTCTGTACAATGAAAAATAGTATAATATTAATTAAACAGCCATTCTGATAATATAGTGTTTGTATATGGGTTGTACATTCAATTGATTATTTTTTTGTGCAAGTGCAAGTGGCACCTTCGGTAATTAGCTCCATACAATTTTCCATAAATTTAATTGTGAATATTTTGATCAAATTGCAAGCACGAAAAGCATGTACTAATGTTTATCGCACGAACGGAGCTTTGTGCATGGTTAAGTGACTCATCCGAAAATACCAGCTCAGACACCACGAAATCTTCATAATACCCGAGTGTGGTGTCGCGGATTACCGAATGACCCAGATAAATGTATCTGCTTACCTTCACAGCCATTCCGTTAAGATCTGATCCTGTACTAGCAGCAGTTGCTATGGTATTGGGGACAGTGTTAGTGCCAGTTTCAATTATATGAATTATGCTACATGGTACACCTAATGTTTCACTTGCTATCTGCAAAATGAAATTCATCTATGATCCTTAATTTTAGTTCAAAGGTTGTACGACATCATAGTTTGTTAAAGGAATACTACCTATTAGAATGGACATAACTTGACTTGATCAATAAGATTATGTATTCATCAGTTGAACTTACAAGGTGCTGGTACGAGCGTGGGTACTCTAAACGATTTTTACGAATAAACCTTAGCGGAGATAGCAGCTAAGAACAGACTTTATGTCGAAATACCTCAGGCCTAAAGAGTGCCCATGTCGTCAGTCAAATAGATGCAAAACGGGTCCTTTTATATCCTTGTGCCCCTTTTTAATGTGTAATTCTGTAATGTAACAACAGATTCAAAACTATGGGATACCGAGGAATTAGCTCCCGTTTTTATTGATTTTGATTATATATAGAGAAAAGGGACTTAGTCTACATTAGAGTTGCGAATTTGTCTTGTATTCAGTTCTTATACAGCCAAAGTTTATACAATGTGATGTCCATCCTGTATCTGTCATTAACTAATGTATTGCTGCTGGTGAATCAACATCAACCCATTCCGAAAATTATTGAAAATAATTTAACAGGATCGACCCTGAACGGAAGACAGCTAGAAGGTATCAAGGATTTTATATTGACATGAGAGAGAGAGAGAGAGAGAGAGAGAGAGAGAGAGAAGAGAGAGTGTTTGACTAACGAAACACCCTTTAATCAGAAGCATAGACATATACTGTTGCCATTATGGTGTTTATTCCAACCCTGCAATATGATGTTTGATAGAACATTATAGTGTTTAGTCGAACTGCAATATTGGTGGCCCGGAATTGACCTGTTATGGATGGACACAGCAGGAAGTTGATGAGTAACTAGGGAAGCTAGAAACACTTTTCTTGTTCTAGAAGAATGACCAGTAAGCCTCATAGTCCGATTGCATCAAATATGGTTCAGAAAGGAAGATGATGGTCTTCGTTTTTGTGTTGATTTTCGACAACTGAACAGAATCGTAAAAATGTTCAACCAAGGATTGAAGAGTTAATCGAAAACACGTTATGCTCATGCTGTTTCGCAGTTTTAGATATGAAGTCAGGCTATCACCAAGTTGCTTTGAGAGAATGTGACAAACAGACGACCGTTTACCGTTAGACCCCTGGTTTGTACAAGTACAGTCGCATGCATTTTGGTCTCACATATGTCCCATCAACGAACTTTATATTAATAAAGGAATTTCTTTGAGATTGTGAAGAATTGCAAATTTTTTCAGCAAGGTAGTCAAGTAGTAAGGTCACATCGTCTAATCAGAAACTACTAATGCTAATGAGGTATGCCAATTTCTTGGATTCAAAGGGTACTCACGAATTTAAAAAAAAAATTTTTTTCGTCACTGATATTAGTACACCCGGATCATTCGAAATCGTACGCCGTGCACACTGATGCCATTTGACGGGGACTTGGTGCGATATTAAATTATATACCAGGAAGGAATGAATAGAGTACTTTCATATGCTAGTCGTGGATTAATTAAATCGGAAAAGAACTACCAAGGACAAATTGGAATTTCATTCGCTGAAATGGGCAACTACTGAAAAGTTTAAGGATTATTTATACGAAAACCACTTTACTGTCTTTACAGATGACTGTATGGCATTTCCTTGGCAACAGTCAATGTTTGTTTGTGTCTATCCCCTTTCCTCTATGCTCACTTTAGACTTGGAACTGAAAGAGTACACACCATATAATTGCAGCTTTATGCAATTATGCTTTTGTTATGTGTTTCATCTCTTCTTTGGATATTATTATACTTTAAGTCAAAGTGATTTTTTAATCCTAGAGGGAATGCTTATACTAATATAATATTCACGTTTTCGTGTGTGTGTGTGTATAAGAAAAACACGTGACGCCATGAAATTTATTATGTTGATCGAAGGTAACTAAATTCATAGGATGATGACCGAAATACAATAGCGAGTCGCGGGTCATTAATTTATAAACCTAAGGATAGTACCTGAATCATTTTGACATGAATGCCCTGTCCCATTTCAGTTCCACCATGAGCTAAGAGAACTGTACCATCTGTATAAACATTCACCAGGGCACCAGCCTATATAAAAGACAAAAGAGATTTTGTTCATACACGAGCTAATATGGACGAAAGGCACTGTTTACAAGAAAGTAAAACTTTCTAAACAACGTGGTGTCACCATTTGCAAAAGTAGTATAGATCGTTTATTGACATAAAGATGGGTTTCCTTATTTTTTTAGTATCAAAATAAGCAAACTATTTGATTAATTGGTGTTTCTAATGAAATATCATGTATTCTTTATGAAATCATTATGTTCTTATTGCATATAATTAAGAGTTTAACCAATGCTCATGTATGTACAATCTGGGTACACAAAAAATAAGACTTTTTTGATCGGTCACTGATTGGAATTCTGCTGGTAATTCTCTTGTAATTTAACTAATTATGAATTGATTATGAACATGTGAGACAAACTGGTATTTTTCGAGTCATTAGTTCACCTATGCATTATATTCATATAGGTATTACCATTTTCATTTTCATATGAAAATAAGGGAACCCATCTTTATAAGAAAAAGGCGCAGAAAAGTGAGGTTAAGTAAGGTGGTTCAATGAGTCTGCTGATTGAGATTATAAAATTATTGAAGAGGCTTCTCAATACCCATTGTAGTACGTGATTGTCTTAGTACCCCATGTAGGTAACAAGGGAATTGAACCAAAATAAACAAACCTGATTCATAAATTTGAATTCAAAAGAAACTCCATACATCAATGGTACTATTGCAATTCCCCTTTTCCTCCATCGATTTTCTCTGAAATACAGTTCAAGTCGAAATGAGAAAGGACATGTATTAAGGAGTATGTTAATGATCCAACATGGTAGGGTCGGGTGCAAACCAGCTTGTGATACGTGAATCATTCAATCAGAATGTGTTTCACTATCAGGCGGACTTGGGCAAGAACTATGGTCTTTTCATATCAGGCAAAAATCCATCTTGGAAGTCAATTATGTCTTTCATTGCAATGGTTTCGGTAGACTTCAAACGTTTCACATTAGCCATATATTTAGCGCATATCATATTTATTCTGTCCTCTAATTATAACGTCATATTTATTCTGCCATTAAAGTTCATAAAAACACAAGTATCAGTAAGGCTTAAGTTTCTGTATATTTTAAGAGGTTGGTCGAAACGCATTACTTGAACTTCTTGGTCCAAATTTGTCCCAAGCCTTTTCGAATGTAGTAGATATTGGTAGTTACTTACACAAGCTACTAATATTTCAAGTTATTGATCTTTACTCCTCAGTATCAAACGGAAGCAAGTAAGCAAAAACGGATCAGTTTACCTATTGTATTGATCTATTTGTCCCAGTCGAGTTTGGTAATCACTCTGTTTCAGGCAACCATCCAAGCAATCTTGAATATGACAATCGTAGATGATTTGGTTGAGGTGTGTTCGATCACCTTCTCTATAGCAATTAAGTTGACGAACCTGAAAATCGTATTTCATGAATAAGTGACTTGGATCACTTGGATGAAATTGGCGATCTTGTGTCTAAATGTTTTATAAATCAATACATTTCTGAATTAAGACTTGTCTACAATTAAATACAAACAGTTCCAGTTGACGACAGTTTTTAGTTTCAAGGTCATCCTCTAAACATTCGGTAAATTGTTTGAGCATTCATTATTTCGTTGTTGCCGATCATGCAGTCATATTTTTACCCAAAAGAAATCTACTACGTAAAATTATTTTTCTCACCTTAAGTGGGTCCATCACAAGATGATGAGAAACTGCCTCAATGGCAGATTCGATGACCATCAGAGATTGGGGAAACCCAAATCCACGAAAGGCTGTATTTGAGCTGATGTTGGTCTTGCAAGCATGAACCGTCATCCGTAAATTTGGTATCTTATAAGCACTTGTAAGTCTTAATACAGCTGCATCCACAACCTTGTAATACATAAAAAAGCTGAACTGCATTGCAATTCCCAAAACAGTGGTTTGAAAGGCAGAGTCCCTATTTTATGTCCTATCCTTACGATTAGTTTCTTTATGCATGTCAGCAATTGGAAGACCAGTGCACTAAACACATCTATTCGACCAACAATGTTCTATAGTATGAAAGCGGTTCACGAATAAAATCATTTTAACTGGCCAATGACTTAGTGTCAGCCAGGTAAACCTTAAAGTCTCCATAAAGAATAACTTACAGCCAAAGAAAGGTCTCCAGTGTTTCCACAGTTTGAATAACTGCTTATGTCCAAGCACTGTATTTTACCATCATTCGAAAATCCAACCTTCACGATGAAAAGAATATAAGATAATTGAACCCCTACCCCTACACATTTCTGTGTGCATCAGCTAATGAAAGGTGCGGCTAAGATTATTCAGCGATACAGCGTTCCACAATATGTAAAAATGTTGATTTTGTCATGAGTAAACTAAAAACTATGTATGTCGAAACTGCGAATGATTATTAAGGCAATTACATTCAAAAGCCCCTTTTCTCAATTACTTAACGATCATATTTTGTCGATAGAATTGGAGCATGAATTACATTACAGGATGATTCAAATTGTAACCAAAATTACTTTCCAAACATATGGGAAAAATTGATTTGCATCAAAGCAACCAGGACGTTACCTTAAACTTAAAGAGAAATGGATGCCGTGTTCCCGTCATCACCATATCATCGTCTCTGTCTAATACAACGCGTACAGGGCGGTTATACCTGAAAAATTAAACATTATGTGGAAACGTCAGAAACAATGGCTTCTGTAATCAAAAGAAGTAATGATATGGCAGTATATGGTGATTCTGATACGAGAAGTTTGTAGTCATTAAAGGCGCGAGGCACGGACAAGCACGACAACTCCTCCAATCAAAATTCTCATCCAAAGAATATCGAAATCGGTAGCAAAGATAGTATAGTGGTGAACCCCTTCAAATAGAAGTACCATTGGGTGTTTCGAAAAGAGTAAGTTTCCCACGCGACAACCGCCCCACTACAATGGTCGATAGCGATCGATTAGTCTAGGGACAAGATACGGATATATTGCCCGTCCCATAACATTAAATAAGTGTCTTTTTCCTAAAAAAAAAATTGTTATCCTGCCCACAAAAAGGGTCCGTATGCGAATTATTTGATAAATACGATAATTTGCATGATTGTTGGAATATTTTAAAGAAAAAATGGCTAAAGTTTTAATGTTGACAGTGAAACCAATGAATTTAAGCGATTGACCCGACGTTAAATCACCGTTGCAGAACTGGTGATATCATGATGGTTTGCTTTTAGTTGTTTTCGATGCACAAAAAGGGAAGTTACTTTAGAGCTGCAGTCGCTGCTAGTCCAGCAAACCTCCCGCAGTGTGATTCTTTTCCACCAAAGGCTCCACCTGTAACAAAGAGGGAATCCTAATGCATTTTCGTAATTTGGCCGTTATTTGAATATATTTGAATAAGTGCTGGTGACTCAAACAGCTGTAGTTTCTAATTCCCCTTCCCAGCTGTTTAAATTCGAAACTTTACAAAGTACAGGTTTGTCCTTCAAAGGGGTACAACTCATACCATCAAACTTGGTTATTTTAACTGATGACTATTCACAATCAACAGAGAGGAATTCGAGCCTTACCTAATCTTTTGACAATGACTCTTACTCTGTGTGCTGGTAGTCCGGTAATGTCGCACACATTCGTCTGTAATCAAAATACGCACTCAATATACAGTTTCAAACAAAAAAAAAGCTATGTAGCTGAATTTAGTTTAAATTCCAATCAATAAATTAAGTCATAAGCACCAAATAAAAATGAGAAGTTTAAATGTTCGTTTGAACTAAATATGTTAGATTCATGGATAGCTGGCATACATTTTATGATTTATTCTAATACACTCTCAGTTGAAAAAGAAAAGACATACTTGTGTTAAGTGTGGACTTTGTGTTGAACAATATACATCCAACTCTCTGTTTTCTTTAGGTACGACTATAGATGATTGGGGTTCCAAGTAAAAATGTTCTTGAGCTCCAACATACACTTCGTCCTCCAAAGTATTCTCACAAGACGGGAATGCTTTGTCAACATCCCCACAAGTACGTGTGTTAGGTTTTGCAAGATATGAATTGGCCTTAATGGCATCCTGAAAGAAAATTTAACCGGGACTCTTAGTCGTTCAAACAATTGCTAATATGATATAATGCCAGGTCAGGTATTTTCCATAGATGCTGACAAAGCGCTTCCTAGCAAATTGTTTTTATTTCTAGTTGATGGATTCGTGAAATATCAATATAAATTGAATGGTAGACAAAATGGTTTGAGAAAACAGTTTCAATAAAATTAAACGCGAGGCATTTTTGTATTAAAATTCTGGAAAACGCAAAACGAAATCCATAGTCCAAAACAACTCTTCAAACAGCTAATAAACTTTCACATAAGGAAGTATATCAGCCATAAGTGAGTAAGTATTTCATATTGAAAAATGGTATCAGGTGTCTAAAAGAGAAAGCATACCCTGCCTGGGTATTATCATTGTATCACATTTTCAGCTGTAACAGGTTTTGAAAACAGTCAGGTTTACCTCTATACTTATAACGGCAGGCAGATCTTCATATCCAACTTGTACCATATTTCGAGCTTTCCGGGCTATTGAATGAGACTCAGCAACTATACAACCAATAACATCACCTTCAGTAATTACCTGAAAAACAGATAGGATGAGAAAAGGGCCTTGGTAAAGGCTTAACCAGAGTGGTGTACTTGCCAACTCACAGCCAATAATGTGAATTTTCCATGAACATTTTTATACGCCCACAAATATATTTTGGGCGTATATTGTAATCACCCTGGCGTTCCGTCTGTCCGTTCACATTTGGCACGTGCTCACTCTACAGGCTACAATTCTTTACAGATTCTTTTTAATTTGTAGGTCAATATTATTATGAAGATGATCCCTATCAATTTTCGTGATGATCTGATAATTTGTTCGTCGGTCCGTTTACATTTGGCTCGTGCTCAGTCTACAGGCTACAATTCTTTCCAGATTCTTTTTGATTGTAGGTCAATGTCATTATAAAGATTATCCCTATCGATTTTCGTGATGATCTGATAATATTTCACCGAAATATCGTGTGCGATTAGCGTTTTCACTCTTTTAGCTATATTGGGCAACTCGTGCTCAGGCTACATGCTACAATTCTTTAAGGATTATTTTTCTTTTTATTTTGTCAAATGAGTCCAATGTCATTATGAAGATGATGCCTATTAATTTTTAGGATGATCCGATAATTTTTTACCAAAATGTCGTTTTCAACTCAACGTATTCACTATAATAACCATATAGTGCATCTTTTGCTCACTCTCCAAGCAACAATTCTTTATGGATTCTTTTGATTTTTATATGCCCACACGTAGTATGGAAGCATATTGTCATTCATCCGTCTGTTCACAGTTGGCTCACTGTACAGGCTACAAACAATGATTAGTACTTGCAATCAAAGCTGCTAGTGGGCGTATGCTACTGTAATAGCGACCTTTCTTGTATTACTTAAGTAAATGAAGCAACTTAGGATTAGCGAAAAATACTAACACATTCATACAAGAAAGGTTGCATTTGCAGGCAAGGCATTCCACACAGTTCGTAATAGTTTGACATTGTGAAGAGGCTAAATCCGAAATGTTATGTAAATAGGTTCGGTCATGGACGATTGAAATTTTCCCCGAAATGGAAATACCAAAAGGTTCGAAGAATAATGTAGGATAGGATTTCCGAAAGGAACAAACAAGTGTTTGGTGAGGGTATTTAAAGAAGCTCGGATTTGGAAAGATCAAGAGGCTCGGCCAATGTACTGACGGGAGACTACATATATATTTGTCTTTTAAGTAAGTGTAGCTCTGAATAAGAATGACTGCTGCATTACTTCATCAATGGCGAACAAATGCTCATCTTGCTCAGCTACTGGGTAGGTATTATTTCCTTTGACATCTCTATGGTCGATATACCCTTTTACTCCTGGTACAGTTAACGCCTCAGCTACATCCACATTTAATATCTTAGCATGAGGTTTTTTGCTGTATACTGGCACGAGTGACAGTTCTCCTGCAACGAGTAAATAAGTGCCTTCATTTTCACATTTTCCTCTCTTGTACATATATTTAGAAAAGAAGGAATTCGTGGCCCAAAATGATTTTCAATCTGACGTCTGTGGTGACCTTATGAGTAAAACTACGGCTTGCTAAGACAACAACACAGAATATAATGCACTAAGCACATCACAAAATTTATATCCATTACCTGTCTGACGTTTTCAGGTTTGTTATGGTTAATGTGTACTGTAAATATATTCTTACCGGTTAAGGCTGGCATGTCGTCGATGTAAACTGCTTCTCCAGATGCAGGTTGTAAGGCAGATGAGTGCGGTAACGGCTTCCCTAATTCAGTTTTGGAGTCTTCAAAGATTTGACTTCCTTGGCTGACGTTATAGTCAGGGTTTTTGATAGCACTAAGATCAGTTTCAGGGATAGCCTTCAGATCACCTATATCCTAAAAATGAGATTTGACATTTGGTTGGATTTACATAAACTTGTGCATCTTTTAGCAAAAATATAATGCTTATCCTCAGGGTAAAGCCCAAAGAGAAATAAAAATTGGTTTGAGACTCTCATTGGTCAGAAATGGTAGAATATATTATTTTACGCGTGTTGCCCTTTACCATCACTTATCAATACCTTTATTTTCGTCAATATCCATGTTGTGTTCTATATGTATAGCGTTATAGTCGTACACCGTTATAGGACGAAAAACCAAAGTGTCAATGAAATGGAAACATACCTGCTTTTGGTTACTGCTGTGCTACACTGAGATAGATTGTAAAGAAGAAACTTGTGGAAAGAGTGTCAATGAAATGGAAACATACCCGCTGTGCTAACTGCTGTGCTACACTGAGATAGAATTTAAAGAAGAAACTTGTAGTAAGAGTTTGTCTATATTCTACTGTACCACCAGGTGCATCATGAGACAATGGTAAATCTTTCTCTAAATATTCACAGGCTATTTTTACAATTTCTTCATTCCATTTCCTATTTAATAGAATAGACAGTGGTAAATCTACATTCTATTTCTTATTTAATGGAATAGACAATGGTAAATCTTCATTCTACTTCCTATTAAAATTTAATAGAATAGACAGTGGTACATCGCCATTCTACTTCCTATTTAATAGAATAGACAATGGTAAATCTACATTCTATTTCTTATTTAATGGAATAGACAATGGTAAATCTTCATTCTACTTCCTATTAAAATTTAATAGAATAGACAGTGGTACATCGCCATTCTACTTCCTATTTAATAGAATAGACAATGGTAAATCTTCATTCTATTTCTTATTTAATGGAATAGACAATGGTAAATCTTCATTCTACTTCCTATTAAAATTTAATAGAATAGACAGTGGTACATCGTCATTCTCCTTCCTATTTAATAGAATAGACAATGGTAAATCTTCATTCTATTTCTTATTTAATGGAATAGACAGTGGTAAATCTTCATTCTATTTCCTATTTAATAGAATAGACAGTGGTAAATCTTCACCATACTCCCTGCTTAATAGAATAGACAATGGTAAATCTTCATTCTATTTCCTATTTAATAGAATAAACAATTCCCAATAAATAGAATAGACAATGGTAAATCTCAATTCTACTTCATACTTAATAGAATAGACAGTGGTAAATCTCCACCCTACTTCGTACTTAATAGAATAGACAATGGTAAATCTTCATCATACTTCCTACTTAATAGAATAGACGATGGTAAATCATCTTTCTATTTCCTATGAAATTTATTTTATATTTCTTAAGCGTTATGATATTCAATGATTAACATGGAAGGGAAAGGGATCAACTAACTTTCCTTTTAGCTGCTCCATCGTCTGTTTAGCCATGACAGTAGTAGGTGCCATACCACCATATGCTAAATATAGATCTTCTATAATACCACTTTGATCTTTAAATACAACTCTCATACCAGAATTAACTATAGCTATATCATCATCTTTTCTAATGGATTGTTTATAACTCTGGATATACTCATTCTACGAAAGAGAACCCAACAATGGACAACAATGATGATAATATTGATGATGATGATGATGATATTTTATATTGAAATATACACATGTAAACGAATTGGCAAACGAAGTAAATAACGAACTTAAATTTGTTCTCCTCATATGATGATGATGTACGTGCACTAGAACAGAACTGTGCTGAATGACGAAGATTTTGATGATGATGAAGATTTATGCTTCACCTGATTGGAGAATGGAATAACAAGTGACTCAAGTATCTCATTATCTTCAACCACTGTTTTTCGGTATCCAGTAAAGAAGTTGATATCCATTGGAACCTTTCTATCTATTCGATCTGTAAATACAATCATTCATATTTGTAACTTAAGGATAGAACTCAAGAGCTCAGACAATCTAATGCAAATTAATAGGATCAATTCCAGTTGATCAATAATCATCGTTATAAATTTTCGGTAACGGGGATGTTTGTTCTTTTTTTACCTTTAGATTGAACATTTAATATAACACCACAAGCTTGAAATACAGGGTTTAAATCTGATATTGGACTGGCGGTCATTATGTTACCACCGATAGCCTGAAAAGACATGAAATAAAGATAAACACTTAATGGACGTAACTTTTTAAATAGTAACAATAATATTCCAATAACTCATGATGGAGGAATAAAACAGTTTTTATATTGATATTTTTCAGATATTGTGAGCTTGTAAGTTTGTGCAGGATATTTTTTCGTATTATAAAGATCAACAGATTAGCAGTAATCCCCACTAAAATTGATGTTAACTCACTGCTGCATTCCGTATCTGTTTACCAGCAAACCACTTCAATATGGCGAGAACAGCAACAAAAGCTTTGGTTTTCTCTTCTGAAAACAGATTAACATACATAAGGAAACATGACTGTGTATACAAATCTAAAGCGACACCAGCAGATTTTGTAATGCAAAATTGAATAAACCCACCATAAAACGAAATGAAAATTAACTTGTAACATATCTGTATTGAATCAATAGTAACCATGGTGCCGTGCAATGTAGTTAAGATGGACTTAAAAGAACGAAAACAAACGATGACCTGTCTGATACTGACGGTGCAAGTGACAGATCTTCTAACACCCCCTTCACTTCATTCTGCAAACCTATAAATTCTTTATTTTTAATACTGACAACCATAACTTACCTGGTTGGGTGTCTACAGCGTGTTGAAGTGTGTCTTCTATTTTGGACAGAGTAACAGAGGCACCAAATTTGATACCAGTCTCTGTATTTTGTATCTCAGTTAATTCTGGGATATCAGATGCGTTGATCAAGATTGGATATTTCATATTCTTAAATGTTGTCTCAATGCCTAAATGAAAATAGATCTATATATATATCTATAAAAATATTACCGACTCTTATTTCCAACTAATATTTTTGCTTGTGGAAATTGATAAAAATATTACTGACTTCAGTATTTCGAACTATTAGTTTAGCTTGTGGAAATTGATGTTAAATATTTATAAAATATCTTACCAACTTCAGTATTTCCAACTATTATTTTAGCTTTTGGAAATTGATGTTAAATATCTATAAAATATCTTACCAACTTCAGTATTTCCAACGATTATTTTAGCTTGTGGAAACTGATATTTCAGATCTAAAATTTCTGGTAAAGTTACTGGTCTGTACCATTTTATACCATCTTTTTCATATACCAAATATTCTTTGTGGTATTTTTCGTGGTTTACCTTATACAAGAAATAAATTATAATAGAGCAAATACTTTCGAGTGAAGTTGTTAAATAGAATAATATACATCCTCCTTTTCTTGGTCTCTTTGGGCTAATAAGAACGGATAAACAATGTGCAATGAGAACATTTTTTCAGATTTCTTACTATCCTTGGATGTTTAACTTGCACTTCCTCACATAAGCCTCCGTTCATTGTCCCGAAAGACGAGGCATCTTTTAAACGTTAATTGATTAATTGATTTGGTAACATTTTACCTTTAGTTCTGGAGGAAATATAGGTTCTTGACTTGAATCATAAATTGGTGTATAGTTACTGTCCTGAAATAGACATCATTTACTACGCTGTAGAAACGCATGTCTAATACTTATAGGAATAGACAGCAGAGGTGTTCTAATGACTTGAAAAATACCAATTTGTCTCACATATCCTTAATTAATTCATAATTAGCTAAATAAGAACAGAATTACCAGCAGAATGACTGATGAAGAAAGGTCAAAAACTCTTTTTTTGTTTATCCAGACTGTACATACATGGACATTTGTGATTGGTTAAAACTCTTACTCATATACCAGAAGAATCTGATAATTGATTAGACACACCAATTACTCAAATAGTTTGCTTATTTTGACTCTAAAAATAAGGAAAACCATCTACATTCTTCATTAAAGTACACCGAGTTTGCTGGACACATTTCCAGTCATACCTTAGTCTCAGAAAGGGGAATCAGCCAAAGCCAATCAGTTATGGTGTTCACGGCTCACCGTTGATTTCATGTATATTTAGGCTTAAAGAAGCATTGTATGTATGTGAGTGTAAGATTTGCCTCATTGTATCGAAAGTGAACGTAGAAGAGAGATTTTGACAATTGATCTTTATCCAACATGTTTATTACACGTCATGTTCTTGAAGAACTACACTTACTCCATTTTGAACAGGTTGTTTCTGATTTTTACAACAGTCCTTTCCCATACCACACTCGTCCTGAAATAAAATTTTAAACGTATTATATTACACTTTTATCTCTCTTTGGCACACTGACTTCTCTTACACCATAACCATGTCCTTTCAAAACATATTTTTACCTTTGAAAATGCTCTGTATCCTTCCAAAATAGGTCGATATCCAGTGCACCGGCAGAGATTTCCTACAAAATAATAACATTAGGTCACTTAATCAGCTCAATGTAAAAATAAACTTCCAAACTCTTAAGAAATTATTACAGACATTCTAAATTATAAATTTGCATTTAAATATTTTATGGTCGACATCACGGCATATGCTATTCTTAACTGTTTTAGAATACTGATAACCAAAGCAAATATTCGTCCAAACTCAATTTTAGAATATTATAATATAATACTTTATAAAGTCAAAGTAAACTTTACCTTCCAGATTCTTCTCTATTTCTTTCATAGTTGGCTGTGGGTTGTTTCTTAATAAAGCATACATGGACATCACCATACCCGGTGTACAGAAACCACATTGTGATCCATGAGATTTGGCTATTTGTTCCTTAGAAATAAAACAAAACATGCTTTTTCAATTAGAATTTGAGCTCGATTTTAGATCATTTCAAATTTTGGCATCAATTTATTAAAATCTTTGTTCATTGTAAGGAGAAAGGCCTAAGAGATTTAGATCCATGGTATTGAATAATCGGTGCTTCGATTTGAATGGGCAAGCCCCTGTTCTATTGGCTGGAAAATTAAACACCAGAAAAATTAAACAACTTAAGGAACCAAACTCGAAGAGTTCGTGTTTTTAATGAGACAAGATTTGTGGTTATAATTGTCATTATCGGTCAAGTAATTACAAATCATTTCACGATTTGGATTTTGCTACTTTTTGGCAAATACACACGACACACAATAGTGTATCACATAGAAATTCAACCCTTAGTCAGATCACCTTGCTATATCACAGATTATTCATTATTTTTTTTAATTTGTTCATTATGTTTTATATTTTATTCATTATATTTTATATTTTGTTCATTATATTTTATATTTTGTTCATTATCTTTTATATTTTGTTCATTATCTTTTATAATTTGTCCATTATGTTTTATATTTTGTCCATTATGTTTTATATTTTGTTCATTATCTTTTATAATTTGTTCATTATGTTTTAAATTTTGTTCATTATCTTTCATAATTTGTTCATTATGTTTTTTTTTATGCTGAATTATCATTCAGTTCTACGTATTGTCCCATCCGAACGACTCGGCGCTTTTTCTGCGTCAGCCCCTCTTACCTGCATCACTGGCAGGGGGAAACCAGAAGTATAAAAAACAAAATGTTCGGCATTGTTGCTGTTTACCTGAACTGGGTGTAGTCTGGTTTTTAAACTCCCTATACCTTCTGTAGTAGTAACAGCTAAACCATGGGCTGAACAAACAGGCATCAAACATGCATTGACTGAATAATGACTGGTAGAGTTCATGTAAGAAAATTACGTATAACAGATGTAGTAAATCTAAAACCGGAAAATTATGAACCGGTGAGTAATGTATCCGGTATCTGGAGAGACAATTTCCAGTAACAGAATGGTTGGCCTTTTTTAAGGGGGAGGGGGCAATCAATATGTTCGGAGGGACATTGCACCCCTTGCCCACATCCTTGCCCCTTGCATTTTGCAGGTGTTTTTTTTTATCCGTCCTCGTTAGTCTCGTAATCCCCACTAACATCCAACCATGGTTGAAGCTAATTTGAAGGCTTGCTGAAATTTATGAGTAGGAGACAATAAAAGGTTTTATCAGTATCATCTAATATTTGGAATGTGTTCCATGTTTTGATTAACATTCGAAAAACAATATTTATTTCCGGTTTCCAGACATTAGGGTCAGACTCACTTGTTTTAACCTTGACTTGTTCGCCTGTTTACAATAAGTTAATGCCTTGGTTAAAGTTAAAGCCGACCTAGTATTATAATCCGGTCGGGACGCACTTGACGGGTGCCCTTTCATATTCAAAATAAGTCATGATTAATAGTCACGCTCCAATGAAGTTGTACATATCATTCAACATAATCTCCTATTTTCTTCTAAAATTGAGTTCTTAATAGGTGCGTATTTCACCATGTTACTAAAGACTTTCCAGACAAAACAATAAAACCTATGCTCATTATCAACATACAAGAATATTTCATTGGACGTGGAATTTATAACACTTGAGGAGACGTAAAATTTTTGCTTTAATAACAACTTTTTACCGGGGGGGTTAGGGGGGAGGGGATTTAGCGATCATATATCACAACCAGCATCCAGAAGAACAATGCAAAAACAGTGGAGAAATTTGTGGAATTGAATTAAATTTGAGATAATATCGGCTGTTCTGAAGCGAGGAGACCCCAGATACCCCACATTCCAGAAGAACAAACAAAACAGAAGAGCAGTTTGTGGAAATGAATTCAATCTGGGATATTATCCGATATTTTTTTAACTGCCCGAACTTTTGCTATTAAAAAGGATACTATATTTTGTCGTCAGTAAGGTTATATTTTGAGATCATCACAGTACAGGCTCCACAACCACCTTCTCCACATACCAGTTTTGTTCCTGTTAGTTGTACTGATGAACAATGGTTAAGGAAAATTCACCAGAGAAAGATGTCTTGAAATGAGAACAATGTAAGGAAAGGACGTAACCGTGTAACCTTTTAGAATATTGTGATTAAATCAGATCCTCACCTCCTTGTTTCCCGCCTCAAATAATACAAAATATTTCACGATAAGAAATTAGACTTAGAGTAAAATGCTATTGTTAGCTATTTTGTGAACTCAAAGTCTGCCCTGTAGATGGTGATACATCTTATACATTCTGAAATACATTGTCTTTCTTAGTTATTTCTGAACATCATAATCGAAACAGAATATAGGGATTTTAATCTGAATCCTTAACATCCATCCAAAACAATTTTGGCACATACTCGAGTCTTCCAGCATCGTACTTATTAATTGCTTTCAATGTATTGCCAAACTATGATTTTGGATATCTAGCTGTTTTGCAGTTCAGATCGTTAGTACCTGAGATTTTCTTTATATTTAAAGGATACATTTCTTTCTCAGATATCTCAGTAGAGAGCATGCCGGATCTGGCTCTGGATCGACAACCTGAAACATAGACAGTGTCCATTACATTATTTATAACCTTATTAGAATTCAAGTAGTAAAGGTGTAAATAGACGATGTCCGATGTTCGGTTGAGGAATAATTGATTCAAACGAAAACAGAAGGAAAAACATGAGGTACGGATCTGGACACGATTCGTTGCTTCTATTTTCTACTCGCACCTTTAGACAGATTAATTCCTTACTTATAGGGATTGTATAGGTTTTGTTTTAATTTGTTTATGTATATCGGGACACTGATAGCATCAAGTTGCAAAATTAGAATTTTCAGTCAGACGAATGTGGATTAGTCACGTCAATAGCAGGACCCACAGACGTCTGCACTGGCAGCTTTGATTTTAAACAAGAATTTTTGACGGTAAAGTTTAATGTACCACTTTGTTTGTTGTCAATGAAATATTTATTTCGGCACTATATAAGCATCTATACCGTATCAATGAAATGCCGAACTGAATGACCTTTAAATTCGACAAGCCAGAAGATCAATGTTTGAACTAGGCTAAGAATCTCATAGACACCTTATCTTGTACGTACCTTCTCTCCATTCACATAGAACACCAGTCCTTTAATATTTTCTTCCATATTTTTTTTTAGTTTTACCTGTTTTCTGAAAAAGATTAACAAATTAACAACTGAATTATTTCTATGAATTGTAGGATTTCAATAATGAAAAGAAATATAGACAGCTAAAACTAACATCTACATAATAATAAACCAATCGTTGAAATACGTTATGCCTTTGAATTTATGAACAAAGGTACTGAAGCTTAGTTTTCTTAGTAAATCACCGCCCTTGAACGAAATTCGTAATGACTTGATATTGAGAGTTGATAACATCAATAGGACTAAACCGTGCTATTAATTGTGCATTCAGATCGCAGAGACGTTTAGGCTGTGAAGGCGAACTCTTTAAGATCTAGAAAGATTTTTTAATCGCTTAACAAACACTAACTAGTAATGCGTTTAGGCTGTGAAGGCGAACTCTTTAAGATCTAGAAAGATTTTTTAATCGCTTAACAAACACTAACTAGTAATGAGTAGTAGTAATCAGTAATATCCATAGAATATAAAAATATTAAACACAAAAATGTATAAAAAAAACAAAGTAAGTTCTAAACACGTTTCCACACAGTTTTCAAAGTTCGCAGTACGCTCTACTCGTTTTGAGTATACGTTTATTGCGTTTTTGAAACGTCTACCACGTTTGCAGTACTATCAGACAAGGTATGGTATAAATACGGGTCGTTTTCAGGGACGCTTTGAGTCAGTTGTAAGTAGGCTTACTTCTAGCTTTGATGTTGCCATATGCGGAATGTTGTTGCACGTAAGAGAGATATCCATGTCATTACGCTTGTCATATCGTTCATGTCTTGATTTGGTTGTCTTCTAGTGTAATTTTGTACGCAACCCGAAAGATCATTTTTAAAAATGAGGTAAGGATTAATTGAGCTCATACGGCAGGGAAAAGTATTCCACTAACGGTCTTAAGACAACTGATATTTCTGTTACTAGTCATTTGATTGGAGACGTTTTTAGTTGAAGGAACTGGTACAAATTAAATCACCTTAAATAAATGACCTAGTTGCATGTTTACTTCCCAATAATTAGAAATTCCAAACGCTGGTAAAAATAATATTTTTGTTTTCACTGTCAATGTTGACGCCATCTTGAATCTCAAACAAATCGTACCAAAAGCACAGTGAGCTACGATTTGGTCGATTTGGATAAGTGCTTTTTGCAAATCGCTAAAATAAATATGCATTCTAGGCAAATCTTTGTAGGAGCTTCGCTTATATAATTGCACAGCTTGATCTGTTTTGATATGATTTGCTTAAAAAAACGCCTTTCATGTTGTTTGTGTGTGAATAGAGGCTAAACATTCAAAAGAAAATAAATTCGAGGTGCCATGACTAAGGGTGATCTATGTATGAAGCATTTAAGCATGTTTCAAATCACTCCACAGACTTGTGTTCGTAATTTGGCCATGTGTTAACGATAGCAGACAGATTGATGAGGCATTTCACGCCATGCACTTCAAACAATGCCGGACTCTGTCGGCTGAAGGACCAGGACCTCCCTAGATCGTTCATGCGAGCAATATTTGGTCACCGACGCGGTGATTTAATAACCTAACCAAGGGTGTGAGAATTGAGTTTGGCGATACCAAATGTTTCCTCAGGTACTCTCGATTTTCGCCCGCACTTATGGAAGAGGTTCTGCTGCTCGTAGGACACACCCTTTAACACATCGGAATTTGAATCTTACAGGCCGCGTTAAGACAGCCGCAAATTATCCGGACCGAGTAAGGTTCGGCAAAAAAGTTGCGCAGGTTGAGAGGGCTCGTCAACGTTCTAGTTTCAAGTGGGCCGAGTTCTACAAGAAGAGGTGGTCTCGATCCGGACCGAGTACGGAACGGCTAAATATTAGTGCAGTGTAAACGCACCACTGGGCCGATCCCAGTTACCCAAGGAGAAGTTCGCATGTGTAATGATGACTTAACATAAACATAAAATTCTATTTTTTGTGTCTGAAAAACAAGCCTTGTTTATGGTTGGCGGCATTTTGAATGACCGCGTTTTTTTTCGCCTCTACTGACTTGAGATCAGGTGTATACTTGCTGACTCGCCGTTCTGACCCAATGAAAGTAGTGCAGTGTCAACGATGGACCGAATACGGTTCACTCCAAGTGGGCCAGTTGTTATGGCTGTGTTAACCGGCTATTGATGTTTATTTCCACGTCGATCCAATTCATTATATTTCTGCGTTGTGCAATAGCTATTTGTGATTGCTTCAATGAATACAAATTCACGTCTTTAAATTGGAAAATGTTACGCATACATGCGTCTGTATACAACAAGTACTCACTGACGTAGATAACATAAACCTATATGATAACTGCCATTAATAATTAGCACAGTGAACATGAAATATAAAGAAAAAAATTGTGATATGACCAAATAAAAGCTTTTAAAAATATTCGTTTTTTGATGTAAAATGTTTTGATTCCCGAATTTGTGCACGACCTTTGGCGCAATTCGGACAGTTCGGGAATTCGGAATTTTACACCCACCGACTTCTATTATATATTTAAAATATCGGGATACACCTAACATTACCTACTAGTTAAACATCTAAACTGAACATCTATTAAAACTAACAACGTCTAAGGTTTACATCCTTTAGGAAAAAGAGAACCTCAGCACCCTCAACAACATAATGATGAGTCCAATACAAGCAGCGCAACAATCTTATCACCCTACGGAATAGAATAGAACCAGTTTATAATCTTCATTGGTCTCCATAAACAGCAAACAGTATTTATTTGTTTTTTACACCAGCTTGAAGCATCAAGTAAATCTTTAAACTAATTACTGGGGATAAAAATACTGAGAGGCCACCGCTAGGCCAAACTGTAGTTAACTTGAGCCACAAAATTCTCACACCCCTTCAGCATTAAATCTTAGACCGTGGACTTTTAATCTGACACCGAAGGTAGACAATTTAAATTATCTCCGAGCATCCATTGAACGATTTCAACGAAATCTTAGCTGCACATATTTTTTCTAAACCACCACACGTGGTGCTAGAACAATGTTTATTCCTAAATCCACGTGGACGAGAACCTTTCAATAACACACGAAAAGCCTAATCTCACACCAGTGGAACGCGAAGCGTTAAACTTACTCAAGAAAGACGATAGCATTGTTATTAAAAAGAGAGACAAAGGTTCATGTTGTGTCATTCTGAATAGGGAGGATTACGTTTCAGAAGCAGAGAATCAACTGAATAATCCTAAACATTATGCCATTTTACCAAACCAATTTTGAAAGAAACTGCTAATATGATTAACAATATTCTTGCCGATTTAGTCAAAACTAGTTATCTCAAACAGAAACAATATGACTATCTGTCTGCCAAACCTGATTGTCGTGAGAGACATTTGTATACTTTGAACCAGAAGAATCCAACCAAGGAGTGGTTTATCTCGAATAAAATCCTTCAAGGCCGCCCGGTTATATCTGACTGTGGTAGTGAGTCGTATGCAGTGTCATGTCATGTAATTTATTTAATTTCATGTAAGAAATGCCCCAAAATATATGTAGGAGAAACTAAGAATAATTTACGAACTCGTTTTAATGTTCACAGGTCGGATATCAAATTAAAGAATGCCTGTTTCTAATCATTTCAACCTCGACGACCATTCAATAGACGATCTCACCCTAATCCCAATTGAGTGTATAGAAATTGACTTGCCCGAAGATGAAACTACCAAATTCCGTCAATCTGGGGAAGCCTATTGGATTGAGACATTGAATACAGCAAGACCTATTGGACTAAATATTCACCATAATGTAGGCAATAGCACCCCTTGTTTTCTCGTTCAATACAACCAGCAATCGAGCAAGCCCACTATAAGAGCCTTCAAGAGAAAAATTTCCCTATGTCTGTAGGAAGAAAATGATAGTTGCATATTCAAAAAATAAGAACTTAAATGATAACATTGTTCATAGTAAACTAAAAACAATCAGTACATAACAGATAGTATACTTTTTTCTAATTTCAGATCAGAATCAGAACAGAAGAAAATCCAGTATCACAATTTCTAAATAAAGTCTCTGTTTCTCCCTACGCCTGTACATTTGGGGATTCAAAGCCTCCCTTCCCTCAATCCAAAGTAGGGAGACTGTCATAATGTATAGACCCAATCTATGTTGTTATCACAATGGCGGCGCCATTTGGGCACGAATAGGAAGCAGACTGATTCACTGAGGGGACAACTGTCGAGGATGAGTTCAAAATGCAGCAACTCAGTGGAGGTATCATAGAGCCTCTCCTGGAGCGTCTGAGGGGATTTTCCCACGAGAGTTTTTGAAAAATGGAGAAGATCTGGTGCATTCTCCCCACTCATATTTTGGAACAAAAACATATAAAAATTATATTTTAAAATTTGTTAAAAATAAGTGGGAGTACAATTTGGGATGCAAACTATTATCCTGTTAACCTACAAGCGCAGCCACTATACCAAGATCGCATCATGGTACATAAATGCAGCGTTAGGCTGGCGTTAATTCATGCAGAAGTTTAAATATTTCCACCAATTAGTTACATATATCTCTATAATACACTTGCGTATAATTAACCATATTTTATTTGTATTTACAGCATTGTATGAATTTTATTGTAATGCTATTAAACCATCGACATGGTACATAGGTTTGAAAAAAAATATGATAATAAATTATGTTTCAAGATGGCGGAGGATGGTACAATAATGTTTGAATAATTGAAAAATAAATTCAACGAGTAAGTTTCTACTTAAATTCTACTTGCAAGTAAGGTATTTTATAAAACCTACTTTTGTAACCCCAGTGGCGCTGCCGTATTTTGAATCTCAACCTCGTTTTATGTTCTTTTAATGAATAAACAGTTCTTACCTTTGTAGACAAGTATTTCCGTATATCCAAGTATCTAAAGCAAGAAATGATGACGTTCAACAGACCCACATATTATATTAAATTCTGCACAATTGTCATATGGTTGCTCGATCGTATCGACTTGCTATAAAAAATCATTGATGTACG